TAACTCGTTTCTTTTTTTTTTATTTGAAAATGATACGTTGAACACATCGAAAGCTTGAACATCGTCTTTTTGAATAAAAGTAGAAAAAAATGAAAAACGAACCCGTATTATTAGCATTATGATTAATTAAATATATTTCGTTTAACAATATAGACACTTATGGTTGTTTTGGCAGTCTGCTTTCAAAATATAAGTTTATATTATCTGTGGCGAATGAATAAACTCTCAAACACTATATCAGACATGTCTTTATTGAGTTTATCAAAATAAAATTTCTGACCATATCTCCAAATAGATTCGTAACATTTCCAAACATACAATGGACAAAGTTTGGAAACACATCCATAATAGGGATACATGGATATCGGTACACTAGACACCACAATTGCTGGTCATCAATTTAACTAGTATTCGGTATACCGATACTAGTACATCTCTTGTATGATTTCAGCAATATGAAGAATTATTATAAAGTTTTACCAAAGACTTTTAAGAGAAAGAGATCTGAATGTAAAAATTTCATTGAAATTTTCCGAAAATGATCTCAGATTCAGATTGTTGATACTCGAAAACCTTTGATCAAACCTCAAAATAATTCGTCAAAACTCTGAGATCGCACTCCATGTCGTCAAAATCGCGCAAAAAATCGTCGATTCTATCGCGATTAATCGCCTAGACTGGTGATTTTTGCCAATTTTCTTTGAAATTCTTAAATGAAAGAGCGATTATTCAAATAATATTTCCAATGATCGAACCTGCTCATAGCATTTGGGCCTACGACTATTACTGGGTCTCAATCTATATACCATTGTCGCTTACTATCGTACTCGTACATGTTTCTCGCGAATCGGAGTGTCGGCTTAGCATCATCATTAAATTAATACTAATAGCAATGCCTTTGTGTTACGATCATAAGAGAAAAGTATTGAATGCTGTCATGCTAACGCGGAGTATTCCGGACTAATTTCAATTCTTTTATGTTCCAATTTTATTTCAAAAGCATTGTAACTACTATTGAGTCAATGCAATATTGAATCAATTTAACAGTAGCTACAATGCTTCTGTATTAAAAATGTCACAAAAGAGTATCGAAATTACTCAGGGATACGGCTTCGCTTTAGCATTACATTAATTAATAAAAATTGCAATATTTTTCTCTTAGAATCGTAACAAGTGTTACTCTTAGAATTAGTCTAATGCTCATGCTAAGTCGACACTCTTACTCGCAAATGAAACAATATCGTTCTCCCCATTCGCAGTAAATAAAACAAAAAAAAATAGAAAAATACCTATTATTCATTGAGACTATCGAACGATCTAAATAAAAACGAATATATGCGTATATACAATGATACTTACCTGTTCATTGTGATGATCAGATGACCTCAATAAAAGAATAAAAAATTATTTTATTAAATAATACTTACCGTTTATTGAAATGTTGCGATGGCCTACATAAAAGAAAAAAACTATTTATTTCTATGAATCAATATTTACTGTTTATTAAGATGATCAGACGATCTAAATAAAGAAAAAAAAATCTATTCTGTTAAAATAACTCTTACCCTTCATTGAGATGACCTAAATAAAAGAGCAATATTTATTTTTATTATTTTATATTTACCGCTCATTATGATTATCATACGATCTAAATAAAACAAAATAGTCATTTTTATAAAATAATACTTACTGTGAATTGGGGTGTCCAGACAATTTAAATGAGAAAGAAATTAGATAAAATAATACTCACGCTTCATTGAGATGATCGGACGTCTAAATAAAAGAGAAGAGCATATTCTTATTCTATGACTAGAGTACTGCGGGACAGTCCAGAATCCCGAAAAAATTTCGGGACGGGACAAACGGGACGGGACAATATAGAAAAACCTATGTCCCGAACTTTTTTATTCATATATGAAAACGCGTCGTATACTTGAGTTTTTTATTTCTAATAGATGTGTTACCCATGTAAAAAATTGAACCAAAAGTCACTTTTTTGGATAAAAAATTTTACATCGGTAATATTTTAAACGAATAAAAAAGGAAAAAATAAGATGCATTGAAAGACTTGTCTACAGTTGTTCATCATCATTATGCATGTTTTTCTCTCTGGGAAAGTGACATCTTTATATTTTTTCGGGACGGGACAACGGGATTCGGGACAATTTAAAATTTTTCGGGACGGGATAAACGGGATTCAGGACACGGGAAAGCTTGTCTCGCAGACCTCTATCTATGACACTTACCCGTTCATTATGATGACCACATCACCTCAATAATGGAACACAATTATTTTTATTGAATAATACTTACCGTTTATTGAGATGTTGTAATAAACTAAAAAAAGAATATTTTTATAAATTTATGCTTACCGTTCATTAAGATATTCAGACGATTTAAAAAAACGAAAAAAACACTTATTTTTGTAAATTAGTACTTGCTGCTGAAATTAGTTGCAGAATTGGCGATTAATCGCCAAAGGTAACGCGATTTTGATGACATGGGACGTTTCAGATTAGAAAAACTAACTCAGTTCGCTAGTGTTAAACTGGTACTGATGCAACCATATTGTATAGCAATCTAGTGTTTATCTCATAAATGTTAATTCATTCTGTATTGGGTCGAAATAGCTTTGACAAATCTATAATGCTTTTCTGTGTATTTTTATCATAGCATAGTACTAGAGCATGTGGCATGAGAGTAAATATTCCTTAGCACTTTTACTTGAACTCATTATAACTCGAATTCCAAATGATTCGAATCAAATTTAGGTATAATAATCATATGAAAATACTTCAAAGTCTAAATCTTACCAATTGTAAATTTTGTTAAACAATGTCTTCTGAATATTCAAACTTGATTCTTGCTTTAGTAATCAGTGAAAATGTAAATGAAACTAAACGTTCGAACCAAATTCGATTAAAATCAAAGATTTCAAAATATTTCATTTTCTTACGTAATGTGAAATGATAACAAGAGTAGCTCGGCTTAACAGTTGTGGATTGAAAGTGACCGCTTAACATTTGTTCATATCCATTAAGCTATTTTTCTCTCATTGAAGTTTACACCAGATATCTAAAATTAAATCATAGATCATCACAACTATGTAAAGAAAAAATTCCTATATTTCCACAATTCATATCGGAGTATATTAATATACGTAGAGAATTTTTATGATTTGCATATGGAAAATTATCGAGGTGCTTTTCTTTGCCGTCATTGAAACATCTCCTAAAGATCTAATGAATATTCTTCGGAAAACAATAACCTATCCTCAATCTCAACAACCAAAACTATTGGCGAGACATCTAAGAATTAGAATATGAAATGTAAAAGTAATAGGAATTTTTCAGTTCATATTCTTAAATGATCTTGACTGTACCCAACATGAGGTTCATTTAAAACAATTCCATCAAAGACATTTACTAAGTACTCAATTTTAAAAATTGATGATCATTTTATTGTCTATTCATTTTAAACGATTCAACATGTTACCATCAACTTTTTGTTTCCCGTTTTCATTGATAGCTTCGTTGCAATGTTAACAAGGAATATGCATTAATCGACTCTTCGAGTCGAGCTTGTGGTATTCTTGTGATAGCCACAAATTGTAATGTGGTAATTGGCTTTGAAGAAATACTTCGAATGGAATCAAAAAAACAAGTATTACAAGCGCTGGCAAACGTCTTCACGTTGGTACCAACATTGCCTCGCTTTGTAATATATGACGCCGGTTGTTTGCTCAGTCAATTTCTTCGATCAAACTCCGACGAAAAAGGACAACCAATTGAAATATTAGACACAAAGGGAGCACAAATTTTAAAAAATGAAGCTCGGTTTTTTGTTGACCGTTTTCATTTGAGCAATCACAAGGAGGTTAGAAGCTAATATGCGATGCAAGTCTTGGAAAATATGTCAAATTTCGTTAGACCATATTGCCAATTTCTAAACTAATCAAAGTCATTTTTGCTGGAAAAAAAACAAAATCTGAACAACAAGTTTTGTACCAGACTTGTTTTTCAAGAATGAATTCACGAAGTAAGAGAAGAGAAAAATCAGGCGTCTCCAAAAAGATTCTTGCAACGTTTTTCCAACTTGAAAAGTTTCTATTTCTCAATTATCTTGAGCTACATGGATCAAATTCTGATAAAAAATACACCAAAATATAATACAACAAAAGTTACATTGATATCAGCTTTGGTATTTTTTTAAGGATCTGCTCTTGACTCCCGAATAAAAAAACGTGGGAAATTGGAATTTTTGAAAAATTGAGTCTTTTGCAAGAGTTATTAATTTGGAAGGAGATCAGCCGCAACCTCCAAAAACTATGTATGAATTGAATTCTTTGTGTGTTATTTGTTCGAAATATGTCAAGTCCTAGATACTTAGAAAAAAAGAAAAGAATTCAAAAAACCTCTTTTATTGTCATCAAATGGTGATGTAGTAGGAAAGACCTAAATACTCAATGACATCCGGAAACGACTACATTTTTCTAAAAAAAGACAGGACTAAATTTAACTTTCAATGTACCATTCGAAAGAGCACTCTTTATGCTACAAAAATCGTCATTAAGCACGGATTTTCATTTTGAATTTGACATTAAAAAAAATAAGCAGAAAATAGAAAATGATATTGTGCAAAACTAAAGTTGGGAGAACTTTTTGAAAGGTGTTGAGTTTTCGACTTCTGCTTCGTAGAATCGTTCTGGAAAAACAAGTCTTATACAAAATTTGTAGTTCAGACTTTGCTTTTTCTAACAAAAAAAAATCAGAATGATTTAGAAGTTAGCAATATGGTCTAACAGAGTTTGACTTTTTTCCAAGACTTTTGCATCGCATGTTATCATGATTACCTTTTTTCTAACAATTTTCTTTTCTTTTACAAAGTATTGTCAAGAACATCTCAATCCAAAATGGGAAAAGTCACTCAAGAATATGAACACCAGTGCTTGTGAGCAGATTAATTCGTGGTTAAGATTTTACTCTGATATTTTTTCAAACATGAATGAAGCCAGATTTTTGGGAACACTTCTTCTTTTATTTCATTTACGAAATTGCTACAATACAAAAATTTCATCGAGAACTGTTCATGCAAAAAAAATGCTGGTAAAAAACCTTGTCTTTTCTCTTATAGTTTATAATTTTTCTCTATATTATATTTACAGAAAGACATAAATCAAGTAAATACATTAGGAAACAATACTGCATCAAGCATAACAACGACAGTTAATATGAATATTAGTCAATTATCTGATTCACCTAACATGGAAGATGGTATTAGCTTTAGTAACGATGGTTCAAATAACAATGAAGAAGTCATCCAAATGGACGACGATGCCGAAGAATAGTTTACCACCTTACCAATGACAATCAATTAACTAACAATAGAACCTTTTCATGCTGTTCATCAAAAAAATTGATCATGTTCGAGTCAAACTACCACTCTCACCACTAAACTAACAGATATAAAATATTACGTGTTTATAGCGAGTGTGGACCGAGATATTAAATTTTCCATTGAACTTTTCTTGCAGGGCTTTACTTGTTCAGCAAAATCATATTTTTGAATTTCGAGCTGGAACTTTGCACACATGAACACTTTAAATTAGAGCAGATTATAGAAGAAGTTTCACAAATTTTGGACAAGCTTTCTTCGAAATTAGAATTGTTCACAATATCAGCGATTTTCTATAGATGTTGTATGTTTTGAAGAATCCTGATCTCGAAGAGGGATTTTCCAAATTTTGTGAAATTTATCCTACTATCTGGTCTCATTAAGGCATTAATGCCTGCAAAGTTACACCTCGAAATTCAAAAATTTGATTTTGCTGGAACAGTGGAGCACTGTAGGAAAAATTCACTGAAAAATCTAATATCTAGGTTCACGTTCGCTATGAATACATCATATTTTATATTTGTTACTTTCGCGGTGGGAATGATAATTTGATTCGAACATAGTCAATTCTATTGATGAATTCTACACAAGATTGCATAATAAGAAAATAAGAATGCGCGACTAGCAATGTGTAAAACTCTATTCATTCATGACCTTGGGAGATTTACAAACACTTGAAAGTAAAAGAATCAAATATTTGAAGATCATTCCTATGCAGTTGGAATTATCAAATTGACGCGTTAAAACAGTTCCTTTTTTTCTTTTATTCAACGCATTGTGCATACTCAAAAATGTCTCGGAAACTACGTTTTAACACAGCATTTTTTCTTTTACTTCAAACGCGTTATTACTCGTAATTTCGGACATTTTTGACTCCGTATAATGCATTTCAATGGAGAGCAATTTCCTGCGTTCATAGAAACAACGCATTCAACCTAGCGAAAAATAAATATAATCCACATACCTTAATATTACAAGCAATATTAAAATACAGTATTTATTAGTAAATAAAAGATACCAAACAACATTGATTCGAAGAAACTCGGAAGTTAAATAGCATACAACAATACTGTAGTTTCATTTCCTTGTAGAGTATAGATTCATGCCCATGAAAATCTAAATATCGAGTAATAGTTTTCTAGCGAATGTTTTTGTATACTTTATTTTATCGTTCAAATAATAAAATTCATT